ATTACAAAAAAATAAAAAAAAGTATCAATGTACTTTTAATATAAAGACTAATTTATGTGTATTATACGTTTTTGTAAAGTATAGAAACAGGCCGAATTCCAAAAATGTATTCCCTATTTCCTTTTTTTTTTTATTTGTCCTACTTTTATTATTAGTCAATTTTAAAAATGAATTGTCTTTATTGTGAAACTAATATATGTACACGACTATATTATGTGATATAGTCAAATATAAGGATCTTAATAGTTTACATAAATATTAGTTTTATCCTTAATCATGTTTAGTTATATAGTGTAAATAAGAATTTTTATTGTATAATTCAGAAAATTCTCAATTTAAATTTAGGTGGTATTTTTTGAATTTTGAGGTTTTAGCTTTGTTTCTGAGTACAAACATATAACTCTTATGTATTTGAAATCTAAGTTAAAAGTATTATAAATTACAATAATTAACAACTTAAATTCGTTGAGTTATACCAAAATTACTTTTAGTATATAAATGATTTCGTTCATTACCAATAATTAACAATTTTAAAAATATTTTTAAAAATTATAATAATATATTTCATACAAATAAATTTTAATTGACTTAAAAAGATTAAATTGTGTCATATAAGTTATGATGAAGAGTATATAAAGTTGTCTTAACAAACTCTCTTAAGATGACCAAAAATAAAAAAGCAACTCAATCAATCATCAAAAGAGACCCACAATAGGCCCAAAACCAATTAAGACACTATCCAAATAACATTAGTCAAATAGATTGTCAATTAGGAAACTCTCTAGAAATCTATTCAACATCTCTACCTGTCAAACATCTTCATGGTTCAATTTATTGGTCATCTATTGTGGTATCTTAAGTGACTCTTTCGATCCTTCTTTGGTTGTTGTTGACATTTACCGATGATAAAATTGAACCTTTTATTTTTCTGTAAGTATTTTATAGAATGATATATAAGAAATATGAGAATTTAGATATTTTGTGGAGCTATTCATTTTTATGTTCATTTATAAAAGATTATACATTGATTTTTTAATGTAACTTTTTTCATCATATTTTTTTACTAATTAATGGTTTCTAATAATTATAATTTTATATATTGGGAGGCCGAGGCCGATATGATGTCTCGATATCCTCATCTCTTTCCTTCTACCCCTAGTCTAGCTTGAGGGAATGAGTTCCTCATGGTTTACTCTTTGGGTGTCATGTGTCTTAGATATTCCCATGATTTCCTCATTTATGCATGTTCATGAAAAGCTTAAGTTTTGAGAAAATGAGTCAACTTGATTGAATTCTACATGTTTACGTGCATTTTAGTATGAGTTGCATATAGACTTCATGTTATGATGTTTCGAACATGCTTTAACTTGGAGTTGATGTTTCCTTCTCGGTTATGTGCATTTATATGATTGCATTCATGATTAGGATGTTAAGTTTAAGTTCCTACCCTCATTATGATGTCTTGAATCTCATTCGAGGATGAATGATCCCAAGAGGGAGATAATGTAACACCTCGGATTCAGACAAGGGAAAAATATTCATTTCGCAATCAATTAGGCAAAGTAACTCGAGGACGTCGAACGACTTGGCGATCTACCGAGTAGAACTTCTCGCCTTTTTGAATTGATTTCTGCATCCAGTGTTCTGAAACTTTAGGCGAGCTGGATCGAGCTCACCGTTCTATTTGGTGAGTCGCCAAGGTGAATTTTCCATCGCCTAATTAGCTTAGTCCAGGAGCCGACTCACTGGAACTTTCAGCAAGCTAAAGGCTCACTCGGCGAGGCACCGAGTGGCTTTTGGCGAGCTCCAGCGTTTCTTGTTTCCAGTTTTTAAGTTAGGGACTTTTGGGTCTTTTCAGATTATTTTAATTCAATACCATGTGGTTTTACACTTCACCTAAAGACCTATATAAGAGTTTTACCCCAAATTTCCCCAATTTAAAAGGATTCTCTCAAATTCCTAAAAGAAGAACAAGTCTCTCTCTCAAATATTTCTCTCTCTAGAAGTTGAAGAAGAAAGCTAGGGTTTTCAAGACAAGTCTCAAATTCCACCATTGAAGTCAGGCTTTTGGCATTGAGGTATGATAGTTTTCATTCATGGATTCCTTCCATTCATGGAGTTCCTAAACTCTCTTATTTTCAAAGTTAGAATTCCCCAATTGAGCTAGGGCTTTCTTCTATGATATGAGTTCCTTTAATTATTGATCTAATTGATTGATTTATGATCTATCGTGAATGAATTGAGTAAATCTCATGATTTTATGATGATTCCCCATGAACCCATGTAATCCCCATGTTTTCCAAATTATGATGATATGATGTGGATCTTGGATTATGAAAGAAGATTATATGAAATCAAGCATAAATTGATAGAATTGCATGAAATTATGATGAATTTCTATGAACCTATGTCTAACCCATGTTTTCTAGATGTTGATGATTGGAAGTGGGTTTTGAACCTTGAAAGGGTGAATTATGGAATTATGCATGTTCTTATGAAATTTATGTAAATGTTTTAAGGATGCTTTGAGAGTGAAGTATCAATGATGATGATGTTGTTGTGTTGGTGAAAGGATTTCTCATATACACATGAAAGCATGATTGTGAAAGGTTTACTCACATAATAAGTATTCTAAGGTTGAAAGGTCTTCTCACCTTTGGCTGAGCAAGTGACTAACGCGGAGTTTAGGGCTGCATTTCAAGTATTGGCTCACGCCATGACGGCTCAAGCCAATAGGGAGGTTGCGGTTCCCGTGAACCCAAATGTGGGTACAACGACATCTAGAGTGACGGACTTCACTAGGATGAATCCTCCAAAGTTTCATGGTTATAAGGTTGATGAAGATCCTCAAGAGTTCATTGATGAGGTTTACAAGGTGTTGATGATCATGGGAGTGACTCATGTGGAAAAGGAGGAGTTGGTCGCTTATCAACTTAAGGGTGTTGTTCAAATTTGGTTCAGTCAATGGAAAGAAAGGAGACCGAAAGATGTGGGTCCTCTCGATTGGGAGAAGTTTAAGGTTGCTTTCCTTGATAGGTTCTTTTCCATTGAGATGAGGGAGACAAAGGTGCTTGAGTTCATCAACCTTTGTCAAGGAAGTATGAGTGTGAAAGAATATGTTTTGAAGTTCACACAATTGTCTAAATATGTTCCTACAATGGTTGTCGATCCTAGGGCAAGAATGAGTAAGTTCGTTTCGGGTGTGTCTGAAAAAGTGGTTAAAGAATTTCTTACTGCCATGCTTGTTAATGACGTGGATATTTCTCATCTCATGGTTCATGCTCAGTAGATCGAATAGGAGAAACTTAAGGAAAGGTCTAGGGAGGCAATTATTCGGCATCTCGAATCTCCACATCAGGTTAGTATTTTTTTGCTATTCTATTTTTTTTAATTATGTGCTTGAATTTTTATTTTTATTTGTTCATAATAATAATTTTATTTTTTACTATCTACTTGTTACAATGAAATAATTTAGAATTCATTTAATTGATTAAAATTGTCCGCAATCCTCTATTATTTGATCCTCAATTACTAATTGTGCAGATCAAATCATATTAGTCTAAATTTTTAATGGAAAGGTATTATTCTAAAAAAAATTACAAATGTTCAAAGCCAATTTTAACGACTCAAGCTTCAACTGACTTGGAAGAACAAGCTAATGAGTCAAAAAAATATCGGCAAAGTGAAGGAATTGATTTAAATTCATTGCCAATTGATCCTGGGGAAAGATTACCTATTCAAAAATATCATCCAAATGATCATGATGCAATAAGGAGGGCATTTCTTCAACAAGGGTCCATTCCAATCTCGAAGTCATATGTTTCCTACCAGATTTATGTATAGTAAATTTCATCGCTTTAATGTTGAATGGTTTGATCAATATGATTGGTTGGAATATAGTATAAAAAAGGATGCTGCTTTTTGCTTCTATTGTTATTTGTTTGAAGATGAAGATGTTAATCAAGGGGGAGGACATGCATTTTCAAGTATAGGATTTACAAGTTGGAATAAAAAAAGAAGTTTGAATGATCATATTGGTGTACCAAACAGTAATCAGTCAAAAAAAAAATTGTGAAGATTTGATGAGACAAAATCAATCCATTCAAAGTGTGCTTGCTAAACAATCTGATCAACATAAGTTAGAATATCAAACTCATTTAGAAGCTGCCATTGATGTCATAAGATATCTTTTGAATCAAGGATTATCTTTTCAGGGACATCGTGAAGATGAGTCACCTCTTAATAAAGGTAATTACATTGAACTTCTTGAATGGTACACTAAACGATGTGATAATATTGCTGATGCATTTAAAAAGGCTCCAAAAAATAATCAGTTGACTTCTCCATACATTCAACAAGATATTATTACTGCATGTAAGATGGAAACAATTAAGTATATCATCAAAGATTTAAATGATGATTACTTTTCAATATTAGTTGATGAATCTCGTGATGTGTCATTCAAAGAGCAAATGACTATTGTTTTAAGGTACGTTGATAGAAAAGGAAGGGTAATGGAGAGATTTATTGATATCGTTCATGTTCGTGATACTAGTGCATTGTCTCTAAAAAGGGGAATTATTGATTTGCTAGCTAAATATTATTTAAGTTCATCTTATGTACGAGGACAATGTTATGATGGAGCAAGTAATATGCAAGGAGATTTAAATGGGCTAAAAAAATTAATTCAAAAAGAAAGTAGAGGTGCACATTTTATTCATTGTTTTGCTCATCAACTCCAATTAACTCTTGTTGCAATTTCTAGAATATGTGATGAAGTGCAAGAACTTTTATCATTGACTTCTGATATATTAAATATGGTTGGAGGTTTTTTCAAGTGTAGAGATGAAATTCGTGAATCACAAGCCAAAGAAATTGAAGAAGCACTATAGAAAGGTGAGCTTGAAACTAGTAAGGGTTTGAATCAAGAATTAGGTCTTGCTAGGGCCGGTGATACTAGATGGGGTTCTCACTATAAATCCTGTAAGAATTTCATTCTTATGTTTGGCCCTATTAATGATGTACTTGATGCTATTGCTGTTAACACATGTTTTGAAGAAAAGTGCAGAGCAAAGGGATGTTTAAAAGCATGTTTAACATTTGAGATTGTCTTCATGTTGCATTTCATGTGCACTATTTTAGCAATCACAAATGAGCTTAATACAACTTTTCAAAGGAAGGAACAAGACATTGCAAATGCCATGATACTTGTTGGAGTATCAAAAAATCGACTGCAAGTATTGAGGGATAACGGTTGGAATTCTCTTATTGATGAAGTGTCAAAATTTTGTACCAAATATGATCTATTGACACCTAATTTTGATGAGCTTTATGTTATTCTTGGAAGATCACGCTGGAGAATTGCAAAATACACTATTTTACATCACTATCGTGTTGAAGTATTTTATAAAATTATTGATTGGCAACTTCAAGAACTCAATAATCGCTTTGATGAGGTGACTATCGATTTGTTTCTTGGAATCGCTTGTTTGAATCTAGTTGAATCATTTTCAAGCTTTGAGATGGAAAAGATATTGAAATTGGCCGAGTTATATCCTGATGATTTTGATAAACATTCTATGGTTGATCTTCATTCTCAGCTTGAGAATTATATAATTGATGTTCGGGATCATGATAAAAGGTTTTCCAATCTTAAGGGACTCAGTTATTTTTCCAAGAAACTAGTTGAGGCAAAAAAGCATAGAACTTATCCTCTTTTGTTTCGACTAGTGAAATTTGCTTTACTATTGCCAGTTACCACTGCTACAGTTGAAAAAACCTTATCTGCGATGAAATTAATTAAGTCTGACTTATGAAATCGAATGGACAATGAGTTTTTTAGTGGTTGTTTGGTGCCTTATATAGAAAAGGAAGTATTTAGTTGTGTTTCTAATGAGGATATTATGTATACCTTTCAAAATATGAAATCTCGTAGGGGAGAACTGTAGTTATGTACTTGAATTGAGTTTTATTATTGTGATTTGAGTCATTTTTTTCGAATATAATATTATTGCAATGATTTTTTCATTTTTATTAATTATTGACAAAGGTTATCCAACAAAAATAATGGTCTAAAACCAATTTAAATATAAGGCCCTATAACTTCTTTTCCTTTTTTTTTCTTCATTTTTTTAAAGATATTAATCATTTATTTTCAATGCAATCTCATGCTGAATAATGTTGTATAAAACTTTATTTAATAATATGAAGATGTGAATGGTTTAATTTAAAATTTTAAAATACTATCTAATTAAAAGAGGCCTCAAATTTTTGGAGGCCTAAAACAAAATTTTCATTGATTTTCTTCTTGAGTCACTTTTGTCCCTTTAATGGTGACACCGCTTAGAAATAATCTTGCGTATGCCACTGGCCTTACTAATACTTGAGTGATAGCTGTTATTATATGCAAATTCAATTAAAGGCAAGTGATTATTCCAATTACCCTTGAAGTCAATTACATATGCCTTCAACATATCTTCCAAAATTTGGATAGTACGCTCCGCTTGCCCGTCGGTTTACAGATGAAAGACCGTACTAAGCTTAACACGAGTACCAAGCCCTTTTTAAAAATATTTCCAAAACAGAGAAGTGAATTGGGTACCACGATCGAAGATAATGGACAAGGGAACTCCATGCAACCTAACCATTTCTCTCAAGTACAGCTTAGCATAGCCCTTTGCCGAATAATAAACCTTGACGGGGATGAAATGAGCCGATTTTTTCATACAATCTACTATAACCCAAATCGAGTCATGTTGCCACCGGGTGCGGGGTAAACCAACAATCAAGTCCATATTCAAGTCTTCCCACTTCCAAGTAGGTATACAAATGTCTTGGGACAAACCTCCCAATTTGTGATGCTCAACTTTCACTTGTTGACAATGAGGCTTGGCCACAAATTTTGCAATATCTTTCTTCATCCCATTCCACCAATATACCTTTCGCAAGTCATGGTATATCTTGGTGGCTCCTGGGTGAATGGAGTATCGAGAACTGTGGTCTTCTGAGAAGATCTGCTCTCTCAAGTCATCTACATTGGGAACACACAAATGACCTTGATAATGAAACACACCATCTCCCCCTTGGGAGAAAGCCTCAACAAACTTTTTAAGCACCACATCATTCAATTCTACAAAAGTTGGATCAAGACCTTCCTTGGCTTTCACATCCACCACAAAAGACGATTTTGAACCATTGTGAACCATAACACCACCTTTTGTGGAGTAAAAAAATCGAACACCCAATCGGGCCAATCTATGAACATCTCGAACCAACTCTTTCTTATCTTCCTCAACATGAGCAACACTACCCATTGATAACCGACTAAGAGCATCCGCCACCACATTTTCTTTGACGGGGAGATATAGAACACTCATATAATAATCCTTTAGTAACTCAAGCCATCTTCTTTGGTGAAGATTTAGATCCTTCTATTTAAACACATATTGCAAACTTTTATGGTTGGTAAAGACATCAACATGAACACCATATAAGTAATGCCTCCAAATCTTAAAGGCAAAAACAACCGCCGCCAACTCTAAATCATGGGTAGGATAGTTCTTTTAGTTCACCTTAAGTTGCCTGGAGACATAAGCAATGACTTTCCCATTTTGCATAAGGACACATCCTAACCCAATTCTTGAAGCATCACAATAAACACCAAACTCATCGGTTCCTTCTACTAAAGTCAACATCGGAGCGGAAGTAAGTCTATTTTTCAATTCTTAGAAACTTTTCTTGCATGCTTTCGACTAAAGCTGCGTATCGGTCGGTTCGGCTTGGTTCGGTTTTGGAATTCAAATGTTTTACTTATAGGTTATCGATTTGTAATAATGCTAAACCGTTATGGAACCGTTAAGATATCGGTTTATCGATTATCAGTTTATTGGTTAGTGATCGTTATCGGTTCGATTATCGGGTTAACCGTTAACAGTTTGCACAATTTTTATTGAGAATTACTAATGGACTAATCACTAATTAACAGTACGCAGTAGCCAGTAGTCACTGATGAAATTTTCCCTGTTAGTCCATTACTACATAAAATACCTAATAAAACTCCATATTAACGAAAGATGTCAATATTACCCAAATTGACAAACTCTAAAGGAATCCTCGTAACAACAAAGCCAATTTCGATATGAACTATAAAGAGAAACCATTACAGCACTACTAACGAAAACCATTAATGATCATGAGACCATTACTAATAAAAAAAAATCATTGCAGATTGTAGTATTTCAATAATGCAGGCATATCTCACTAACTCACTCACTGTAATGAGAAGATAAAAAACAATGACTTAAAATAAGGGAATCAACCATTTGAACCTCAATTTAGACACTTAGAGAATGATATTCAATATAACTCATCGGCGTGGGAGCAGTGATAGTGAATCAATGAGTGATGTCGCAACTTTGGAATATTATTGTGAAATTTGAGTGTCAACTATTAAGTCAATGTAAAGAGTCTGAAGACTGAATTGTAAACCCTAAAGGCTAAAAGTGCCTAAGGCCTTAAGTGATATAAATGTAATTAATTAAACTTCTTATCCAGTTATCGGGGCACCCAATTAAATATATGGCCACACCGAGACCCGAACTGATAAGCCGATAAGAAGTTTATAGTAAACCGAGACCCGAGCCGTTTAACCATTAACCCAAACCATTGACCCAATAACCAAATTATTGGTTCAAATTATCAGTTTCGGTTGGGTTTTGAACAGCCCTACTTTCGACCATATGAACTTAACCTTCTTTTGGGTCAATGTCATCAATGGAGAGGCAATCAAAGAAAACCCTTAAACAAACCTTCTATAGTAACCAACCAAACATAAGAAACTTCTAATATCCATAGGGGATAGAGGTCTAGGCCAACTTTTAATTGAGTCCGTCTTCTTAGGATCTACTACAATACCCTTACCGGAAATAATGTGACCAAGAAAAGCCACAGACCTTAATCAAAACTCACATTTACTAAACTTAGCAAAAAGTTATTGGTCCTTGAGAACTTGCAACACAATCCTCAAATGATTAGTATGCTCGTCTTCACTCCTTGAATAGATCAATATATCGTCAATGAACACAATCACAAACATGTCGAGGTATTGCCTAAACACCCTATTCATCAAATCTATAAATGCGGCCGAAGCATTGGTCAAGCCAAAGTACATCACCAAAAACTCATAATGACCATAGCGAGTTCGAACAACCATTTTCAAAATATCACCCTCTTTCACCCTCGATTGGTGATAACCCGACTGGAGGTCAATCTTAGAGAAGTAACTTGCACCTTGTAGTTAATCAAACAAGTCATATATCCTTGGAAAAGAATAGCTATTCTTAATGGTAACCTTGTTCAATTGAGTGTAATCGATACACATACGAAGCGATCCATCTTTCTTTCGAACAATCAAAACTTGAGCACCCCCTGGAGAGATACTCGGTTGGATGAAACCCTTATCCAAAAAATCTTTCAATTGCTCTTTTAATTCCTTAAGTTCTGCCGGAGCCATAGGATAAAGAGGAATAAAGATAGGTTGCGTATTTGGGAGAAGGTTAATACCGAAGTCTATTTCCCTTTTTGGGAGGATTACTGGTAGGTCATCAGGGAACACTTCGAGAAACTCATTTACAATGGGGATCGACTCAAGAGTACGGGTTTCAGAATCCATATCCCTTACTTTTACTAGATGGTATATGCAACCCTTAGAAATCACCTTTCTAGCTGGAAGACAAGAAACAAACCGACCTTTCAGCATAGAATTTCCTCCTTCCCATTCTAGGATAGGCTCATTTGGAAACTGAAAATTGACCACTCGGGTTCTACAATCAATAGAAGCATAACAAGAATGCAACCAATACATTCCAAGAATAACATCAAAATTTAGCATATCAAGCTCTACAAGATCAACATGAGTGACTCTATGGGATAAAGAGACGGGACAATTGCTATAGATTCTCTTAGCCACAATAGATTCACTAATAGGAGTAGAGAAAGAAAAAGGGTCTAACAACACATTCGAAAGAATATCAAACCTCATAGCCACATATGGCATCACAAAAGACAAGGTAGCACCGGGATCAAGCAAAGCATAAACATCTAAATGAAAGACTTTCAATATACAGGTAACCACATCGGGAGAACCCTCTTGCTCATGGCGAGTCTTAAGAGCATAAAATCAGTTTTGCTTTGGAGCACTTGAACCCGAACCACTAGGAGAAGCTTGCCTACCTTCTCTTCCCTTAGTCGTAAGTGATGGACAATCCCTTATTTTATGACCACTCTTACCACATCAGACGCAACCATCCATGTCGGCTAAGCACTTACCCTCATGCTTCCTTTCACACCTAGCACAAGTAAACAATGAAGATCCATGACCATTCCCTCCTTGAGGCTTAGGGTTAGATACCCTATCTTTGTTGAACTTAGGAGGATCATTGGAGGAGCCTTGACTGGAAAACCTTTGTCGGAATTCAGAACGACCATGTCCATCGGACATTGAATGTGAGAAGTTACCATCACCGGCCCTTGCCTTCTTTGTTTCCCAATATCTTTCCCTAAAATTCTCCTCTTATATTTGTTGAGCATGAACCATAAGACGAGAAATGTCCATATCATTGATAAGCATGGTGGTATGACATTCCTTGATCACCATCTCGAACACGCCTAAAACAAACTTACTCATCCTTGCCCTAGGGTCGACAATCATAGTAGGAGCATACTTAGACAATTGTGTGAACTTTAAAGCATATTATTTCATACTCATGTTTCCTTGACGGAGGTTGATGAATTCAAGTATATTTTCGTCCCTCATCTC